TTGGCTATAAATCACTCCTTTAAAATGTACAATTCAGTAATTATATTCACAAGGTTGCACTTCTAGCATTATATTTAATTTTAAAACATTTTCATATCTCTTTAAATAAAACCACATCTCCTTTAACAATCATCTTCATTCTCCTCTACCTTCAACTCCATCCCCAAGCCCTAAGCAACTACTAATCTGTTTTTGTCTCTGTAGATTTACTTATTCTAGATACTTTATATAAATGAAGTCACAAAGTGTGTACCACAGTTGTATTTGTATTGTATTTTATGTTCATAGGAAAATTATGGTTTGTAATTTTGATCCCAGGTCAAATCCTAATAACTACAATGTCTGTGTTTATATAGTAGATCCTGTCCCCAGTGAAGTTGAATTGGAGAATAGGTAAAGTAAGGGTTACCTATTTTCTTCTGCATTACTGATTATGATTTTATACTTGGTGTTCCAATTAGTGTATAGTCCAAAAGGTAGACTACATACAGAGCAGTTATATATTCAAAACTTGTGTATATTTTACATAAGATTTACTTTACATGTAGTGTAATGTTTTTGTAGTATAGTGTTTTAATTAACCATAAGAACTTCTTTGTTTTTAGTATATTCAGCAGAACATAAGAGCAGATTGCTCCAATATTGACAAAATTCTTGAACCACCTGAAGGCCAAGATGAAGGTGTATGGAAATATGAACATTTGAGGTAAGTTCTTACATCAAAATAGCAACAGGGCTGGGTGTGGTGGCTCATACCTGTAATCTTAGTACTTTGGGAGACCAAAGCAGGAGGATTGCTTGAGGTCAGGCATTCTGGACAAACCTGAGCAACATTTTGAGACATCTCTATAGAAAAATTAGCATAGTGTATTGGTTCATGCCTTTAGTCCCAGCTACTGTGGAGGCTGAGGCAGGAAGATCACTTAAACCCAGGAGTTTGAGGTTATAGTGAACTATGCACTGCACACTAGCCTAAATAACAGAGCCATACTCTGTCTCCAAAAAAAAGAAAGAGCAACCTGAGCAAAAGTGAGACCCTATCTCTATTAACAATAGAGAAACTACTGGGCATCATGGTGGGTGCCTGTAGTCCCAGCTACTTGGGAGACTGAGTCAAGAGGATTGCTCAAGCCCAAGAGTTTAGGTTGCTGTGAGCTATGATGACATGGCACCCAGGGTGACAGCATGAGACTCTGTCTCAAACAAACAAATTGTATTAGTACTTCCACTAGTACTAATTACCTTTAGCTAAATTACCTTGAGCATTAATGATAATTATGAATCTCAATCAAAATTTACTATGTAGGCTCAGCTCTCGTAGCTCAGTGATTAGGACATCAGACACATACACCAAGGCAGGTGGGATTGAACCCAACCTGGGCCGGCTAAACAACAATGACAAATGCAAGAAAAAAATAGCCGGCCATTGCGGTGGGCACCTGTAGTCCCAGCTACTTGGGAGGCTGAGGCAAGAGAATCTCTCAAGCCCTAGAGTTTGAGGTTGCTATGAGCTGTGATGCCATGGCATTCTACCTAGGGCAACATAGTGAGACTCTGTCTCAAAAAAAAAAAAAAATTTACTATGAAATTGAGATCCAGACACCAAATTCTAAAGTTTTTCTCTTTTCAGTGTTAAGTTCTCAACTTTGTTCACTGGTTATTAGCAGATAAGGTTATGCTGCAGAATCATTTGTTTTGAAAGGTGGTTTCAGAGCTGATAAACTGAACCTACCTGCAAAATTTTTGTCTTCTCAATGTTAAGTTCTCAACTGTGTTCACTGGCTTTTACCAGATAAGGTTATGCTGCAAAGTCACTTGTATTGAAAGGTTGTTTCAGAGCTGATAACTTGGACCTACCTGCATGTGTACCTTTCTACATTTATGGATTTGGGCCCTATTATGTTTTTGTATTTTTTTCCTTAATTCGATCTCTTAACCACTAATACATTATTTCCATTTCTCCACTCATGCGTAACTTTTATTTCTTTATAGAGGATTACCTCTAGGTCCTAGCATAGGGTTAGTATCTGATGAGTTATCTGTGAACTATTGAGAACTTCTGTCCTCTCTTTGGTGCTTTTAATAATAGTATTTGAAGGAGAAAAGTGTAAACTAGTGAATAAGTAGAGTTAACTTTAGAAGTAGCTATATCCTGGCTTGGCACCTGTGGCTCAAGCGGCTAAGGCGCCAGCTACATAAACCTGAGGTAGAGGCAGGAAAATTGCTTGAGCTCAGGAGTTGGAGGTTGCTGTGAGCTGTGATGCCACCGCACTCTACCCAGGGCGAGAGCTTGGGGCTCTGTATCAAAAAAAAAAAAAAAGAAGAAGAAGTAGCTATATCCTAAAGTTACTAGATATTTGATTCTTCCTTTTTTTTGAGACACAGTCTCACCATGTCAACCTTGGCAGAGTGCCATGGTGTCACAGTTCACAGCAACCTAAAACTCTTGGTTAAGCAATTCTTTTTCCTCAGCCTCCCAGGTAGCTGGGACTCAGGCATCTGCCACAACACCCAGCTTTTTTTTTTTTGGCAGTTATCATTGTTCTTTAGCTGGCCTGGGCCGGGTTCAAACCTGCCAGCTTCAATGTATGGCTGGTGCTGTAACCACTGTGCAATGGGTGCCAAGCCTTACTGGATGTTTCTTGACATCATAAACTATCCAGTGCAGACTGGATGTGTAGTAACAGATTAAATATAGAGAATACAGTGTGAGTATGTTTTCATTTAGATTTATTATTTTGAGTTAATTTTTAGATAATTGGAATAGAAATTTAACTTCCTCATTCAAACTACATTTCCTGTGATGTGTGCTTCAACTTGTAGATAAGGAACTTTTTTTTTTTAACTATTTGATGCTGCATGCTTCTTTAGATAATGCTAAGACATAACATCACATCATAATAGTTCAGCATTTTCAGAATGCTAAGACTTCTTTGTATCCTTTGCCAGTTTCTTGGACAAATCACTTGACTATTTGATCTAATTGTTTTATACATCTGTGCATGTTAATTGAAAGTATGAGTGTAGTTATTTTCCCATCCTTATAGCCCAAGATAGAGACCACTTTAGTATGTATAATATATCCTTTGCCTTGTTTTAATCAGCCTTGAAAATAACTAATCGTCTGGCATTAATTATGAAAATAAGTAAACATTTTTTTTCCTCTGCTACAAGTGTACATCCTAACAAGTGAGGGCTGATTTTAGTGTACAGGGTTTAAGGTTTCAGGCCTTAGAAAACATTTTTCTCTCTATTTAACTTGTTCTGTGAACTATGCATTGTACAAAACATATTAAAAATTTATATAAAACTTTCTCCTGCACATTGCATTTGTCTTGGTGCTATTGTTTTTATTTTTTTCTGTGGGTCACTTTGGGGGGGGAGGTTGTATTGCTGTATTATAATCTTGTATATATATTCTTTTTTATCATGTTGTGTACCTCATTATAGTTGACCAAGAATAGGTATTTTGTTTACATCAGTTATCGATTTGAAGCTGCATATTTGCTATTTTTGAGGTTAATTATATGTGTATTATGATGTTGATTTGAATTGGGGCATGACTTAAGTTAAATCTCCCACTAGCTCATACTCAATCTTTGACATTAGGAAAAGGTATCTCTTCTTTATGCATGGTGACTGGAATGTAGGCTGGATTTCAGCTCTGGTCTTCTCTTTGGCTGCACAAAGAGAAAAGTAATATGTATTAGCCCTATTTTGGATTAACTTGAAACTATAAATTTGCATTCTTGGCCACAGATTATACCCACAACACTGTTGGCCACAAGAGGGTTGGACTAATTAAGAAACTTCATTATCGGCTTGGCGCCTGTGGCTCAAGTGGCTAAGGCGCCAGCCACATACACCTGAGGTGGCAGGTTCGAATCCAGCCTGGGCCCACCAAAACAACAATGATGGCTGCAACCAAAAAATAGCCGGGCGTTGTGGTGGGCGCCTGTGGTCCCAGCTACTTGGGAGGCAGAGGCAAGAGACTTACATGAGCCCGCGAGTTGGAGGTTCCTGTGAGCTGTGATGCCACAGCACTCTACCTAGGGTGATAGCTTGAGGCTCTGTCTCAAAAAAAAAAAAAGAAACTTGCTTATCACCACCAGTCTTTGTTACCACTTAGTAAAAAACCAAAAACACATAACATGCAGCCTTTTGGATATGGGGCAGTAGAGGGTAATGTGATTGTTCAGAAAGTGTTCTTTTTATAATCTAAAACTAGCATCATTATTAGTTATACCGTTACAGATAACTGAAAATCTGATACTTTTTGTTCTCTTTTATTATACAATAAGTAAAGAAAATATTTTTTATCAGATTTATTTTATATATATCCCTTTTTTTTTCTTTTCCTTTTGTGACTCACTTTTGTCTTCTAATTAAGTGGTTTTATTTTTCTTATTTTTTTTTTTTTTTGAGACAAGAGCCTCAAGCTGTCACCCTGGGTAGAGTGCTGTGGCATCACAGCTCACAGCAACCTCCAACTCCTGGGCTCAAGCGAGTCTCCTGCCTCAGCCTCCCAAGTAGCTGGGACCACAGGCACCCGCCACAACGCCCGCCAATTTTTTGGTTACAGCCATCATAGTTGTTTGGCGGGCCAGGGCTGGATTCGAACCCGCCACCTTAGGTGTATGTGGCTGGCACCTTAGCCACTTGAGCCACAGGCGCCAAGCCAATTAAGTAGTTTTAAGCTTCATATTTTGGGGAACCAAGTGTCATCATTTGTTTGATGGACAAACATAATACTGAATTGCCTAACTTGATATATTGAACTAAGTATTACTAGTTAGGGATTTTAGAAGGAATGCATTCAGTAATTTGACAGCTATAAAACAAAGTATCTTTGTACTGTAGAAGATTTTTTTGGTTTTTTGAGACAGGGTATCGCTCTGTTGCCCTAGGTAGAGTACAGTGGCATCATAATAGCTCACTGCCACCTTAAGCTCCTCAGCTTAAAGGATCCTCCTGCCTCAATACTCCTGTCTTCAGCCTCCTAAGTAGCTGACGATAGATAATATGCCACTATGCCCAGCTATTTTTTTCTATTTTTGGTAGAGATGGGGCCTCACTCTTACTCAGTCTGATGTTGAACTCCTGAGCTCAAGTAGTCCTTCCATCTTGGCCTCCCAGAGTTAGGATTAAGTGTGTCAGCCACCATGCCCAAACTGTTTTTTTATGTCAGATAACAGATCTGTCTAAAACTGATGGCCTTAGGCCAGGTGGCGTGGGTAGCCACAGTGTCTCCAACTCCTGGCCCGAAGTGATCCTCTTTTGTTGGTTGATCTTCCAAAGGATTTGAATTACAGTCCCAAACCACCATGCCAGGCTAATGGCCTCAAAGTCATGTAATTTCCTCCATTTTTCACTTACTAAAAAACATTTGAAGCTAGGAATGGTGGTTTGCACCTGTTGTCCCAGCTGCTTGGGAGGCTGAGATAGGAGTATTGCTTGATGCTAGGAGTTTGAGGCTTTATTGTGCTATCATGGCACCTGTGCATAGCTGTAGCACTCCAGCACCCCAGTCACTTAGTGACTCTTCTCTTTTTAAAAAAAATTTATTGAACACCATGTTTTTCTTTTTTCTTTTCTTTTTTTTTTTTTTTTTTGCTGTTTTGGCCGGGGCCAGGCTTAAACCCACCACCCCCAGTATATGGGGTTGGCATCCTACTCCTTGAGCCACAGGCACTGCCTGAACACTGTGTTTTTCTAAGTTTTCTAATTTTCAGTTTGTCCATGTTATACGGAAAGTATATCATGAAAAAGTGTTCAAGATCTTTTACTTTTTCTAAACTTAAAATTTTTTTAAGACAAGGATCTCTTGGCTGAGCGAGGGGTTCATGCCTATAATCCTAGCACTCTAGGAGGCTGAGATGGGTAGCTTGAGCTCACAAGTTTGAGACCAGCCTGAGCAAAAGTGAGACCCCCATTTCTACTAAAAATAGAAAAAACTGAGGCAAGAGGATCGCTTGAGCTGAGTTGGAAGTTGCAAAAAAAGACAGGATCTCTTTCTGTTGCCCAGACTAGAGTGCAGTGGTGCAGTCATAGCTCACTGTAATCACCAACGCCCCAGCTCAAGTCTTCTGCTTTAGCTTCCTAGTAACTGGGACTGTAGACATATTATACCACTTTCAGCTAATTAAAAAAATTTTTTTGTAGTAACTGCGTATCTATGTTTCCTAGGCTGGTCCTAAATTCCTAGCCTCAAATAATCCTCTGGCCTTGGCTCCTCAAAGTGCTGGATTACTGGAGTAAGCCAACACATCTGGCCTCAAGATCTATTTAAAGTGACAAAGCAGGCTCGGTGCCTGTAGTTTAGTGGTTAGGGCACTGGCCACATACACCTAGGGCAACAAAGTGAGACTCTGTCTCAAAGAAAAATAAAATAAAATAACAAAGCAAGTTAGAAAATTATGTATGATATGATCCCAATACATTACATTAAATTAAATGATCAATTAATTAATTTATTTTTGAGACAAAGTTTCACTTTATTGTCCTGGGTAGAGTGCTGTGGATAGCTCACAGCAACCTCAATCTCTTGGGCTCAAGCAATCCTCTTGCCTCAGCCTCACAAGTAGCTGGGACTGCAGGCACCCTCCACAACGCCCAGCTATTTTTTGTTGAAGTTGTCACTGTTGTTTTAGCAGGCCTAGGGACTGGAACTACAGGTGACTGCCATAACGCCCAGCTAGTTTTTATAGAGACAGGGTTCTTGCTCTTGCTCAGGCTGGTCTTGAACTGATGAGCCCAAGCAATCCACCCACCTTGACTTCTCAGAGTGCTAGGATTATAGGCATGAGCCACCCCACCAGGCCCCAACGTATTTTAATTTCAGCATGGAAAAACAGATTTGCGTCTAAGTATTAGTTATCTTTTTTGAGGAGGTGGTGGAATTATGGAGGACTTAAATACTTAAATCTTTTTTCTTTTTTTAGAGATAGAGTCCCACTTTGTTGCCCATGGTAGAGGGCTGTGGCGTTACAGCTCACAGCAACCTACAGTTCTTGGGCTTAGGTGATTCTCTTTGGCGTCACAGCTCACAGCAACCTACAGTTCTTGGGCTTAGGTGATTCTCTTGTCTTAACCTCCCGAGTAGCTGGGACTACAGGCGCCTGCCACAACACCAGCTATGGTTTTTTTTTGTTGTTGCAGTTTTGCCAGGAGCAGGTTTGAACCCGCCACCCTCAGTATATGGGACTGGCGCCCTACTCACTGAGCCACAGGCACCACCCTATCTTTTTTCTTTGTATCTCTCTCTGTCTGTGTCTATATGCACAGACATTATTTTTTACATAACTGGAGCCTTATTTTAACAAAACTTAATCTATGTGTGAATACAGACATACATTCTTTCTTTGTAGTATGTTTATGTGTACCAATGTTTTGCTACCCTCCAGTTGCTACTCATTTAGAATATCTCAAAGATTTTCTCATTTGTACATGTAGTTTTTGTGAATGTCTTTGTATGTATATCTACATGTGGTTCTGATTATTTCTTTACAGTAGATTTTTTAGTCAAAAATATATACTTCCTGGGCAGTGCCTACAGCTCAATTGGCAGGGTGCTGGCCACATACACCGAGGGTGGTGAGTTTGAACCCGGCCTGGGCCAGCTAAAATAACAGTAACAAAACTGTTACTGCAACTGCAACAAAAAATTAGCCGAGCATTGTGGCAGGTGTCTATAATCCTAGCTATTTGGAAGGCTGAGGCAAGAGGATCGCTTAAGTCCAAGAGTTTGAGGTTGCTGTGAGCTATGATGCCATGGCACTCTACCCAGGATGACAGCTTAAGACTTTGTCCAAAAAAAAAAAAAAAAAGTGATATGTGCACACTTCCTAAAGATCTTGGTGTAAGTATTTCCTAATTTATTCTCAAAAAATTACACTAATTTCCAGTATATAAGAGAGTGATCAGCTCACTGAACTCTGATATTGATCATTTCATTAGCGTCATTTGTGTTTTGATTTTTAATCCAAAGTCTCACTGTGTTGCCCAGGCTAGAAGTAGTATCATAGCTCCTGATATCTCCCAGCAACCTCAAATTCCTGGGCTCAAACAATCCTCTTGCCTCAGCCTCCCTAATAGCTGGGACTACAAGTGCCTATCACCACGCCAGGCTGATTTTTCTATTTTTAGTAGAGATGAGGTCTTGTTCTTGCCCGGGCTGGTCTCAAATTCCTGAGCTCAGGCAGTTCATACACCTCCGTCTCCTCCTATAGTTTGAGGATTACAGGTGCATGCTCGGCCTCCAGTGGTCTTAATGATAATAAGAGAGGAAGGATGGTACTGATGGGATTCTCTTTTTATAGTTAATATTTTAAAAATAATCATGGAGAATAGAAGTGACTTTTCATTTATATATTTGCATTTTCAGGCAGTTCTGCCTTGAGCTAAATGGACTTGCTGTCAAACTTCAGGTAATATTTTCTTTTAAGTTAAAGCTATAATTGAAAGTTCTGATGTGTTTATTTCTATAACTAAGTATGCTTATACAAAATTTCTTTTTTTTTTTTAATCGACTCACAAGCCGAGTGATCCATTGCTAAGAGTCATACAACAAAATTTCTAACTTATGGAAATGTGGTAACACAAATGATAAACTTTTTCATTATATATTAAGAAATTTTAATTATTTTTAACAGAGTGAATGCCATCCAGATACTTGTACTCAAATGACAGCAACTGAACAATGGATTTTTCTTTGCGCAGCTCATAAAACTCCAAAAGAGGTAAGGATTTATGAAATAGAATGACTAATGAAGTCATCATAACATAAATCTCTGCAAGACAATGGTAGGTATCTTTTTAAAGAGTTTAATTTACTGTATATTTTGCTATTTAGTTTTGAGTTGCATGATTGTCATCACAGAGCTAATTTAGGATTTCTTACAATTAGCATCTTTTTTAAATAATAGCATGAGCTAGAGCTCTTTGATTCACTGGCTATTACTTACTAATTAACATGTCTCACATTGTGTTCATATCTACTGTGTAATTGTTGGTATATACCTGTTTAGGTTTTTGTTCAGTCATGATTTCTTTTGATGAGAAGAGTTTTTGATTACTCTTTGATGCCTAGTTTAAGTAGAAATGTTACTTTCTGGCTCGGCGCCTGTGGCTTAAGCGGCTAAGGCGCCAGCCACATACACCTAAGGTGGCGGGTTCGAATCCCCAG